AACAAACACTTAGTGCTTCTTATAGTTCTTTTAAGTACTTAATATGCCTAATACTGCTTATTATTATTTATAAGTTTTTGTAAGTGCGTTCTCGTTGGTATGGGAGAATTAACCAAACATTTTTCAATGTTTTCAATAGAATCTTCAAAGGCATTGCCTACTACTCTAAATATACTGAACTATACTGAACTATTTGTAAACTTGGGCAAGTTGCTTGCAGGACTCGCAACACTGTAAGCCTAGGGCAGGCCAACAGGTAGAGTAAACTTATAACTAATGGTTGACAGCAAACCGCACATAACTTATCCCTCGAGTGTTTTTCGTTAGTAACATGGCCTGGTCCTGAATTATTTCAAAAGCCGCAACCACTTCGTTGTCTGCAGTTAGTTGTCTATGTTAAAGAAATGCCGAATATATGACCCGTTATCTGTACAAGAAGTCAACAGAAATATATTTTCTTTTAGTGAGAAATGGATAAAGAACTGTGTATTTAATCACATATTATATCGAATGGAAGTGGGATAATGTGTCGCTTTGCATAAGCAGTATGCAATGTCACTTGCTGCAAAGGAATAAAAAGAAAGTACTCCAATCAGGCGCAATCGCTATGCATAAAATCGCGAGAGTTTCGTGAGTATTTTAGAGATGAAAAGTGCCCTTAAAAATCTTTCTCCTTCTGTTCATATTGCAATTCTTGACATAAAAAACCCTTGGAAATTAAGAAGCCCTTATACGGTGTTTAAATACTGAGGTCTGACAGTTATATGTGGCAGAGTAACTGATGAGACCTGACCTAGATTTATCTCTTTGCAAAAGTAAATTTTAATACTGACTACGGCTTTCGATTGTTGCTTACTAATGGGAAAAAGTATAAATTTAGTTGAGATAATTTCTTCTTTGCAGAAAAAAAGCGCGTGACCCGGGGTTAGATGGCTCTTACACCTAGAACGCAGCGTGCATGTTTGCTAGACGACTGGCTATTGGATCTGCCGATTTCAGTGCTAAGCTCTGATTCGACGGTGATACCATAGTCTCGGGCATGCAGGTAGTGCTCATCTTGAGATAATTATTCAGTATTCACAGGCGCCTCGACACACTTCTTCTTTTGCTTGCCCCAGAAAATGTCTCAGAGAATTGAGTGGAACCTGAATGGTTTCAATCCTGCGATTAAAGATGTGATCACTGAGGCCTTGTGTCTAAACAAGGACTATCTGAAGATCGCACAGCATATCAAATGCAACGCCGACAAACTTTACGGCGGACCCTTTCACGTTATTGTCGGCCGAAACTTCCATGGGTATGTGATAACCATCAATTGAAGAAATTTTATGGTCAGAGTAAAAGTTTTCTGTTAATCAGTAGGCTTACGGAGTTAACTTGTCGCTTCTATAAGCTAATCAGCTTTACGTGTAAATTGATGATAATGGGATAGATAGGTTTAATTTCACCTACCAAAGAACTTTTATAAATTATAAGAAGTTAACGTCCTATATTTTTATTTGTTTGCTCTGGAATATGAAAGAGGATGTCGGCAAAATATGGTTCTTGGAGAAAGTATAATCGATTAGAAGGGTTCGCTAAAACGGTTTTTATAACTGCTGTTTTTTACCATGAACTTCAAAGTTCACATTTCTGTTTTCAGATACGCCACCATTGAGGATTCCATGCAGTGCCGAATTGACGATTTGAAGGTCTACGTTTACAAGTCACCGAGATGGGCACCAAAAGATTGAGCTTAATTTGCATATTGTATTTACAAACAAAAACTGATTTCAATAAAGTTGTTTTGAACCTCGAGTATTCCCTACCAGTGGCTTTTCGAGTATTTCCGGGGATATTTCATGCAAAAACCTTGGGACTGCATTTAGAAGACTGAGTTTGTTAACCCAATAACGATGTCTAGTTGAGTGATTCGAACGATTTTGGCGTTACGTCAAGCATAAATACAGGTTCTACACTTTACTAAGGCTTATGCATACTTGAAGGGGTGCGAATTAAGGGCTCTAGTTAAATGGGGGCGAGGTAAACTCAGCCATTATTTCTCTTCAAATTAATATGTAATCCTTGTACCAAAACGTACAGAGGTATCTGTAGCGGGGTTTATATGATTTCATATGTTACAAAGGCAAATTGATAAGAGAGTCAGCAAACGAAAAAAAAAAACTCAGTAGGATGCCTATAGTAGAACTTTAAAGTGTTTGTAAAATTGACAATTAAAATTCTCTTAGTTCCTCGTCAACTATATTACAGCAAAGAAAATACAATAAGTTAGTTTATTAGATAGTCTCTGACAGAATCATGTCTGCGATATGTACATTCTTTTTTCTGCAAATGAAGCTAGAAACTCCTTTCCATAAAGTCTGCATATCCTGTAGGCAGACGGCTAGCCTTGGATGCCAAACTGTCAACACTTCTTGTCAAAGCATGATTAGATTAGTAGATGACTCTAGTGGCTTTCAATATGTTTTGGCTCATAAGAACTGCCGGATTTTATGTCTCTCTTTTGCAGACTGTAAGGTTGCGTCGAAATGTGTCTGATTAGTTTTGGTCAAAGGAATATCTCACAAATTGAGGCGAATGATCGCATCCCAGGAACGTGAATATTTTGAGAAGAAGAATAATCGAACACTGGAATAATTGTTTTATTAGCCTGAGCTTTCGGGCTCTTGCAGGAACCCATCGTCAGAGTAGGGAAAAGCAGCAAAAAATGAGCTGGCTAGTTCTGGCGTGACGATGGGCTCCTGCAGAAGCTCGAAAGCTCAGGCTAATAAAATAATTATTCCAATATTTGATTATTTTTCTTCTTCTCAAAGGAATATTTGCAATTACATCAGATTCACCATGAAAACTTATGTGCTTTTATAAAATATTATTAGACTAGTAAATAAACTCTTCATAGTTAGAAGCTTTATAAATTGACATATACCAGTGCAGGTCATGGTCAAGACACTAACGTATCTACGAGAATTTTCAAGTAATTGTACTATCCCATTCAGAAACTTAGGACATTTTCTTATGGTAAAATTATCTTAATTGGGTATTCCGAATTTCCTAGATTGCGTTGCCTTTTCGGAGTAAAATAAAGATCTTGCATCCGAATTGGTTAGTATCGAAAAACTATAAAGTTAAATTTTTGCAGTTGTGAACTTTTGATTCTTCGACTATTAAGGAATAAGATTTAAAATGTAGCACCCTATCATTGAAACAGCTTAAGCATATATAACTTAGTTAAAGGAAAAAAAATGGGTATGGTAACAAAAATTCGCCTAAAGCAGAATATTTACTGTCACCTTATTACTACCAAAACAAAAGAAGCTCTAAAAATTGACCGAATGATTAAAATATCAGAATTAATATGCTTAAAATCCAATTTGCTTTTAAGTTTCGTCCTTTATGTTATTGTATTCATTCGGAAAGGAAAAGAATTATCAAGGATTCGACGAATATGCGCGAAAACATGTTTAGTAAGGAATAATCAGTTAAGGGGTTGCGCGTATGGCTCATTAAACGGGAGATAAGAAGAGAAACCTGCCTTTGTGACAAAGTCCTGTAAAATTAAGTTTAGCCTTACAGTTAGGGTTACATTTTAATTTGGGGTTATGGTTAGGATTAGGGTTCATATGGGGTTAAGTAAGGGTTCTGGCTATGTTACGAGTAAAGGTCAGAGGGACTGTTCTCTATACGGTGAGTGTTAATGTTAGGACTATGATTAAGGTTTGCGTTAGGGTTGAGGGTATTTTTCCTCAAAAATATGCTCGGGACCAGCTTTTTTATTTGTTTGGGCCGTTTCTACTTCCAACACTGGTTTAGGAGACTATATACGCAATAATTTTAATAATACTATTTGAATAGTACTGGACACAGGTCTTCCATTCGTAAAATAACCATCTGACCATCCAAATATGCATGCAGCCAGAAATATGCTTCTCGTTTTGGAAGGTGACGTTGACTTTCTGGGAAGCTATTAAGAAAATGTATAAAACATAAACCCGTGCTAAATACAGTATGGCTGGGAAGTTATGCAAAAGACATGACAAAACTGGTCTCACTAGTTTAGCGTACATTTGGTTACGTTCTTTTTATTTAATGAGTAGATTTAATATTTTGAATCATTTTAGTAAGGAAAATTGCATTTTTGTTCACTATACTGAGGGTAATCGGCATTAATTTTGGCGAAATCAAAGGGGGCCTGATATCGACGAAATTTCCTAGGCTATTAAGTGCGACAGAACCAACATCAGAACCCCAACATAAGTAAAAAA